TTTTTTTTTTTTTTTTTTTTTTTTTTTTTTTTTTTTTTTTTTTTTTTTTTTTTTTTTTTTTTTTTTTTTTTTTTTTTTTTTTTTTTTTTTTTTTTTTTTTTTTTTTTTTTTTTTTTTTTTTTTTTTTTTTTTTTTTTTTTTTTTTTTTTTTTTTTTTTTTTTTTTTTTTTTTTTTTTTTTTTTTTTTTTTTTTTTTTTTTTTTTTTTTTTTTTTTTTTTTTTTTTTTTTTTTTTTTTTTTTTTTTTTTTTTTTTTTTTTTTTTTTTTTTTTTTTTTTTTTTTTTTTTTTTTTTTTTTTTTTTTTTTTTTTTTTTTTTTTTTTTTTTTTTTTTTTTTTTTTTTTTTTTTTTTTTTTTTTTTTTTTTTTTTTTTTTTTTTTTTTTTTTTTTTTTTTTTTTTTTTTTTTTTTTTTTTTTTTTTTTTTTTTTTTTTTTTTTTTTTTTTTTTTTTTTTTTTTTTTTTTTTTTTTTTTTTTTTTTTTTTTTTTTTTTTTTTTTTTTTTTTTTTTTTTTTTTTTTTTTTTTTTTTTTTTTTTTTTTTTTTTTTTTTTTTTTTTTTTTTTTTTTTTTTTTTTTTTTTTTTTTTTTTTTTTTTTTTTTTTTTTTTTTTTTTTTTTTTTTTTTTTTTTTTTTTTTTTTTTTTTTTTTTTTTTTTTTTTTTTTTTTTTTTTTTTTTTTTTTTTTTTTTTTTTTTTTTTTTTTTTTTTTTTTTTTTTTTTTTTTTTTTTTTTTTTTTTTTTTTTTTTTTTTTTTTTTTTTTTTTTTTTTTTTTTTTTTTTTTTTTTTTTTTTTTTTTTTTTTTTTTTTTTTTTTTTTTTTTTTTTTTTTTTTTTTTTTTTTTTTTTTTTTTTTTTTTTTTTTTTTTTTTTTTTTTTTTTTTTTTTTTTTTTTTTTTTTTTTTTTTTTTTTTTTTTTTTTTTTTTTTTTTTTTTTTTTTTTTTTTTTTTTTTTTTTTTTTTTTTTTTTTTTTTTTTTTTTTTTTTTTTTTTTTTTTTTTTTTTTTTTTTTTTTTTTTTTTTTTTTTTTTTTTTTTTTTTTTTTTTTTTTTTTTTTTTTTTTTTTTTTTTTTTTTTTTTTTTTTTTTTTTTTTTTTTTTTTTTTTTTTTTTTTTTTTTTTTTTTTTTTTTTTTTTTTTTTTTTTTTTTTTTTTTTTTTTTTTTTTTTTTTTTTTTTTTTTTTTTTTTTTTTTTTTTTTTTTTTTTTTTTTTTTTTTTTTTTTTTTTTTTTTTTTTTTTTTTTTTTTTTTTTTTTTTTTTTTTTTTTTTTTTTTTTTTTTTTTTTTTTTTTTTTTTTTTTTTTTTTTTTTTTTTTTTTTTTTTTTTTTTTTTTTTTTTTTTTTTTTTTTTTTTTTTTTTTTTTTTTTTTTTTTTTTTTTTTTTTTTTTTTTTTTTTTTTTTTTTTTTTTTTTTTTTTTTTTTTTTTTTTTTTTTTTTTTTTTTTTTTTTTTTTTTTTTTTTTTTTTTTTTTTTTTTTTTTTTTTTTTTTTTTTTTTTTTTTTTTTTTTTTTTTTTTTTTTTTTTTTTTTTTTTTTTTTTTTTTTTTTTTTTTTTTTTTTTTTTTTTTTTTTTTTTTTTTTTTTTTTTTTTTTTTTTTTTTTTTTTTTTTTTTTTTTTTTTTTTTTTTTTTTTTTTTTTTTTTTTTTTTTTTTTTTTTTTTTTTTTTTTTTTTTTTTTTTTTTTTTTTTTTTTTTTTTTTTTTTTTTTTTTTTTTTTTTTTTTTTTTTTTTTTTTTTTTTTTTTTTTTTTTTTTTTTTTTTTTTTTTTTTTTTTTTTTTTTTTTTTTTTTTTTTTTTTTTTTTTTTTTTTTTTTTTTTTTTTTTTTTTTTTTTTTTTTTTTTTTTTTTTTTTTTTTTTTTTTTTTTTTTTTTTTTTTTTTTTTTTTTTTTTTTTTTTTTTTTTTTTTTTTTTTTTTTTTTTTTTTTTTTTTTTTTTTTTTTTTTTTTTTTTTTTTTTTTTTTTTTTTTTTTTTTTTTTTTTTTTTTTTTTTTTTTTTTTTTTTTTTTTTTTTTTTTTTTTTTTTTTTTTTTTTTTTTTTTTTTTTTTTTTTTTTTTTTTTTTTTTTTTTTTTTTTTTTTTTTTTTTTTTTTTTTTTTTTTTTTTTTTTTTTTTTTTTTTTTTTTTTTTTTTTTTTTTTTTTTTTTTTTTTTTTTTTTTTTTTTTTTTTTTTTTTTTTTTTTTTTTTTTTTTTTTTTTTTTTTTTTTTTTTTTTTTTTTTTTTTTTTTTTTTTTTTTTTTTTTTTTTTTTTTTTTTTTTTTTTTTTTTTTTTTTTTTTTTTTTTTTTTTTTTTTTTTTTTTTTTTTTTTTTTTTTTTTTTTTTTTTTTTTTTTTTTTTTTTTTTTTTTTTTTTTTTTTTTTTTTTTTTTTTTTTTTTTTTTTTTTTTTTTTTTTTTTTTTTTTTTTTTTTTTTTTTTTTTTTTTTTTTTTTTTTTTTTTTTTTTTTTTTTTTTTTTTTTTTTTTTTTTTTTTTTTTTTTTTTTTTTTTTTTTTTTTTTTTTTTTTTTTTTTTTTTTTTTTTTTTTTTTTTTTTTTTTTTTTTTTTTTTTTTTTTTTTTTTTTTTTTTTTTTTTTTTTTTTTTTTTTTTTTTTTTTTTTTTTTTTTTTTTTTTTTTTTTTTTTTTTTTTTTTTTTTTTTTTTTTTTTTTTTTTTTTTTTTTTTTTTTTTTTTTTTTTTTTTTTTTTTTTTTTTTTTTTTTTTTTTTTTTTTTTTTTTTTTTTTTTTTTTTTTTTTTTTTTTTTTTTTTTTTTTTTTTTTTTTTTTTTTTTTTTTTTTTTTTTTTTTTTTTTTTTTTTTTTTTTTTTTTTTTTTTTTTTTTTTTTTTTTTTTTTTTTTTTTTTTTTTTTTTTTTTTTTTTTTTTTTTTTTTTTTTTTTTTTTTTTTTTTTTTTTTTTTTTTTTTTTTTTTTTTTTTTTTTTTTTTTTTTTTTTTTTTTTTTTTTTTTTTTTTTTTTTTTTTTTTTTTTTTTTTTTTTTTTTTTTTTTTTTTTTTTTTTTTTTTTTTTTTTTTTTTTTTTTTTTTTTTTTTTTTTTTTTTTTTTTTTTTTTTTTTTTTTTTTTTTTTTTTTTTTTTTTTTTTTTTTTTTTTTTTTTTTTTTTTTTTTTTTTTTTTTTTTTTTTTTTTTTTTTTTTTTTTTTTTTTTTTTTTTTTTTTTTTTTTTTTTTTTTTTTTTTTTTTTTTTTTTTTTTTTTTTTTTTTTTTTTTTTTTTTTTTTTTTTTTTTTTTTTTTTTTTTTTTTTTTTTTTTTTTTTTTTTTTTTTTTTTTTTTTTTTTTTTTTTTTTTTTTTTTTTTTTTTTTTTTTTTTTTTTTTTTTTTTTTTTTTTTTTTTTTTTTTTTTTTTTTTTTTTTTTTTTTTTTTTTTTTTTTTTTTTTTTTTTTTTTTTTTTTTTTTTTTTTTTTTTTTTTTTTTTTTTTTTTTTTTTTTTTTTTTTTTTTTTTTTTTTTTTTTTTTTTTTTTTTTTTTTTTTTTTTTTTTTTTTTTTTTTTTTTTTTTTTTTTTTTTTTTTTTTTTTTTTTTTTTTTTTTTTTTTTTTTTTTTTTTTTTTTTTTTTTTTTTTTTTTTTTTTTTTTTTTTTTTTTTTTTTTTTTTTTTTTTTTTTTTTTTTTTTTTTTTTTTTTTTTTTTTTTTTTTTTTTTTTTTTTTTTTTTTTTTTTTTTTTTTTTTTTTTTTTTTTTTTTTTTTTTTTTTTTTTTTTTTTTTTTTTTTTTTTTTTTTTTTTTTTTTTTTTTTTTTTTTTTTTTTTTTTTTTTTTTTTTTTTTTTTTTTTTTTTTTTTTTTTTTTTTTTTTTTTTTTTTTTTTTTTTTTTTTTTTTTTTTTTTTTTTTTTTTTTTTTTTTTTTTTTTTTTTTTTTTTTTTTTTTTTTTTTTTTTTTTTTTTTTTTTTTTTTTTTTTTTTTTTTTTTTTTTTTTTTTTTTTTTTTTTTTTTTTTTTTTTTTTTTTTTTTTTTTTTTTTTTTTTTTTTTTTTTTTTTTTTTTTTTTTTTTTTTTTTTTTTTTTTTTTTTTTTTTTTTTTTTTTTTTTTTTTTTTTTTTTTTTTTTTTTTTTTTTTTTTTTTTTTTTTTTTTTTTTTTTTTTTTTTTTTTTTTTTTTTTTTTTTTTTTTTTTTTTTTTTTTTTTTTTTTTTTTTTTTTTTTTTTTTTTTTTTTTTTTTTTTTTTTTTTTTTTTTTTTTTTTTTTTTTTTTTTTTTTTTTTTTTTTTTTTTTTTTTTTTTTTTTTTTTTTTTTTTTTTTTTTTTTTTTTTTTTTTTTTTTTTTTTTTTTTTTTTTTTTTTTTTTTTTTTTTTTTTTTTTTTTTTTTTTTTTTTTTTTTTTTTTTTTTTTTTTTTTTTTTTTTTTTTTTTTTTTTTTTTTTTTTTTTTTTTTTTTTTTTTTTTTTTTTTTTTTTTTTTTTTTTTTTTTTTTTTTTTTTTTTTTTTTTTTTTTTTTTTTTTTTTTTTTTTTTTTTTTTTTTTTTTTTTTTTTTTTTTTTTTTTTTTTTTTTTTTTTTTTTTTTTTTTTTTTTTTTTTTTTTTTTTTTTTTTTTTTTTTTTTTTTTTTTTTTTTTTTTTTTTTTTTTTTTTTTTTTTTTTTTTTTTTTTTTTTTTTTTTTTTTTTTTTTTTTTTTTTTTTTTTTTTTTTTTTTTTTTTTTTTTTTTTTTTTTTTTTTTTTTTTTTTTTTTTTTTTTTTTTTTTTTTTTTTTTTTTTTTTTTTTTTTTTTTTTTTTTTTTTTTTTTTTTTTTTTTTTTTTTTTTTTTTTTTTTTTTTTTTTTTTTTTTTTTTTTTTTTTTTTTTTTTTTTTTTTTTTTTTTTTTTTTTTTTTTTTTTTTTTTTTTTTTTTTTTTTTTTTTTTTTTTTTTTTTTTTTTTTTTTTTTTTGTATCTATCCTATAAGGCAATTCTGGATTTTGAGGGCCTTTTTTTATGATTCAACTATTGTCTTATCTGAGCAGATATATGGTATTCATGAAAAATATAATTCATATGTAAAATTTTTTATATGATTAAAAGATTCATTTATATTTTAGGCTGTTCAAACAGGCACTTCAGTTTTTATAAGAGAATTAAAATCAAGACATTTTACTAGGTAAATATTGATTTATGATTTTTGTTTAGACAATTTTAATTAAAATTTATAATTAGCTATTTTATTTTAGAAATAATTTACAGATTCAATATGTATTACTGAGAGATGTATAAGATGGATCAAAAATCACTTAAATAAAATATACAGTAAAGCTTGTCCAACTCAAATGTCTGTAACTTGAATATTTCTTTAACTCAAAGAAAATGAATCACTTGGTAGGTCTCAATAGAATAGCATAAGGATTTAACATCTTCATCTTGACTTTCCTTAACTCAAATTTTCTCCAAGTTGAAGGTTTTCATAATCTCCTGACACTGATTAATCTTATTTTCAACTTCCCTGACTTAAATTTTAATATTTATTCTATCCAAAGTGATCTTATTTATTGGATTTCCATAAAATTTTCAGATGGTTGGTTGTATCTATTTTCTAATTTCCATTTGTGGTATTCCTGTGTCCAAAGTGAGAGAACCTCTTGCTTTATCTCAGCAAGATGTACAGTACCTGCAAAACTGTTCAATACCATCAGCTACATTGAACATTTTGCTGAAAGGTGTTACACAAGTTGTTTAAAACAAAAAGCTATCAAAGACTTCTTTACATAATGCAAGAGAAGTAAAAATACAAATCTATACAGAATTGGCATTTTTCACTCTACAGTTAATTCTCTAACTTGAAACATCTGTAACTCAAAAGTTTTTCATGCCCCTTGGAACTTCAAGTTAGAGAACTTTTACTGTATTTTTAAATATTATTTTAAGAAGAACTATAACATGGTTTATCCAATTGAAATAATCAAACTGGTTTCCATTCATTTATTTTGTGGTTTATTTTGTTTACTGGAAGTGACTGAAGCAAGAAATCAACTGTTCCATACAAATTTTCAACTGATTTTGAAAATAATCTTAAAATACATTTCAATTAACTAATCTTAAGGCTATCTTGTACATTAATTAAACAAATATTTTGAAATAAATGAAAAATAATTTAAAATTATTCTTTTTTATTAAATAAGCTTAGTTTAGGTTTTATATTTATATGGCTAGTTTATGATGCTGTTCTTTAAAAAAGCAGTACAAAATTTATTTATATTCCATTTTATTAATATCCAATACAGTAAAACCCCGCTTAATGCAGGGGATGCGTTTCTAGATGACAAAGCGCTAAATGAAAGTGTTAAACAAGGTCATTTTAACATAGAGTAAATAGGGATAGGGGAACATGCATCTAAAAATAAACAATGTAGAGGACGTGGTTGCTGTATCATTAAATGCAGTGTGTAGCGTCTTTGTAATCCAAAAAGATGATTGGTAGACGAACGAACAGCATTGCTGTTCGTTCGTCTACCAATCATCTTTTTGGATTACAAAGACGCTACACACTGCAAACAAATTTTACTTTAATTTTAAGTTATTTTTATATTAATTTGTATAATAATATATGTTAAATAACATAAACATATGCACACAGAAATGTAAAGTTCATTTTTGTGACGAAGGTCCTGACTTTATCGCAAGAAAAGAGAATTTCAGAAAAGTCATGAAGTTTCATTTGTCACTTTTTTCTTTCCTTAAGCAAATGTCAGTAGCAGAAGATTGCATCCAAAACACCTTGTTTTACTTTTGCATTCCTTTCAAAATCTGAATCATTCACTACAATTTGATCAACGATTTCGGTTATCGTTTCCAAACTTTTCCTAAGGAAATCTGTAGAGAATTTTTTGGGTTCTTTGTTTTCAGAATCTATTTTCCAGTTCTACGTGAATTCCTTGTTATGCCAGTTCTTGAAGGTCATCGTTGGTAAGGCTCTCACCAGAAACCTGCGGTAACTCCTCAATATCCTGCTCGTCTACATCTCCTAGTCCTGCTGTATCAATTAGGTTGACTTTGGTCGACATAACGATACAGCGATAGGCTCTTCTCGTTGAGAATTCTTGGATACCTTCAGCCATAACTTCCACACTTCGTTTGTGCAATTATCAGTTAATTCTTGCCAAGCGAAGTCGATATTTCCTATGGCATCCATGATGTTATATTTTTTCCAAAATTGCACCAAACAAACATAGATTTAAAGAAAGTAACCTTTTTGCCACCTTTTGCTGATTGGTTTGTGTTTGCAAATAATCATATTATAAACAAATCAATGAAATTCCACAATAATTTAAATCAGCGTAAATTTTGAGCTTTTTTAAGGCTTTGAGCAGATCGCATTATATTGAATCAGTGTTAAGCGGTACTTTCAATCCTTGAATGTTCAAATTGCCTTTTATACAGGGTATCCACAGATGTCATATGCAGTTTTAAACAGGCTTGAAGTCACTGTCTATGGTCATATATACATGACATTGGTATCACTAGAATGTGAAATTCAACTTTTTGTGCTTACCTCACAGACACTCAATATGTGCTTCACATAAGAAAATATTAACACTGTCTGTTGGCTTGTAGAAATTTTAAAGGTAAATTAATAAATCTATGTATGTATGTATGTCTCTTTAATCTGAAAATTAAGTTCGGTAGACTATCATTACAGCTTTCAGGTTAGACACTTCTTTTATTGTTTCCACAACAGTTGTCTAACCTGAAAGCTGTAATGATAGTCTACCGAACTTAATTTTCGGATTAAAGAGACATACATACATACATACATACATACATACATACATACATACATACATACATACATACATACATACATAGATCATAATAACAGCTACCAAAAGTGATATTTAGTAAAATAATAAAGCCAACAGTGTTAATATTTTTTTAAACTATTTGGCATTTCATGAAGCAATTTCGAGCATGATGTTTGCTGCACAATATGTGAAATACAAGACAATATTACCACCTTATTACCAGCAGTGATGCATTATTGCAACTGTTACAGATTCTCAGGCAATGGGGTATGTACAGTACTGTACACCATATCTTTGACATAACCCACAAGTCATTGCAGATAATGAGATTTGGTGACCCGAGTGTCCACATGCTGATAACATTGTTGTCAGCTCGATGCACCTAATCCATCTACTTGGCAGTTGTGTTCAGATGTTGCTAGATATGGAGCTGCCAGTATGGTGGTGCTCTGTCTCTTGTTGAAAGAGGAGGAGTTCTTTTTCCCTTTTTGTCCAATTGTGGAAACAGCTAGTTAGCATATCCAGATAATTGGAACCAATAATGATGCCCTCCCAAAATAAAAATGGCCCATACACCTTAAATACAGCACAAAAAACATTGATTTTAAAGTACATTTAACCTCCATAACAACATGTTGGTTATGTTAAATCTTGACATTGTTCACTGATATGGAAACCTGCCTCATCACTTCAAATGATTCTTGACAACAGGTCTTTCTTATCCTCCATCAATATCAGTAAATGTTCACAGAAAGTTAGTTTCTTTTGAGGATCATCATGGTGTAATTTATGCACTAATTTCATTTTGTAAGAGTGAAGCCTCAGATGAGTATGTAAGACTTTAGATATGATGGATTTAGGACTTCTAATTCCTGGCTAACTCTGCATACAGACTTCTTAGGGCTACAAACAAATTATTTTTGTACAAATTCTACAACTTCAGCATTGATAGGCTGCTGTTCTGAATGTCCTTTCCTCTGACTGCAGAAATTCATTGTACCACTTCACAGTCATCTTGTCAGTTGTTACCTTAACATTAAGTTTCTAACTGAAGGCATGCTGCCTCACAACACTTCATGTTTGCAATTCCACAATACGCCAGTTATGTTGATGTGGGACTAGTGCCATTTTGCTTTTTACTTTCTTCTGTTACCAGCTAGTTTTTCATGTTGGAATGTCACAGAGCAAAAAAAAAAAAAAACAATTTCATGAACCATTTTTATGACACAAATATCTGGTGTGTTTACTACTAATATCCACTGCTATGAAATTTTACTCATTTATAATCATGGAGGATATTTGTGCACACCCTGTAGTCTTTAAGCTTAGTGAAAAATCTTAATTTTGAATTTATTACTTTTATTTTATAGTTATTAAATACTAGCTGACGAACCATTAATTTTCACAGGAATTTACTATATACAATTATTTAATAATTGTATATATTAAAATTCCATTTTTTTGTCAAATTAAAAAATCATTGACATAATGTAATAGCAAATTAAACTGAATCCAATTTAAAATTTTTAATCATTTTATGATGCATTAAATTAAAATTGTATTTTATTTTAATTTAATAAAATTGTATTTTATTTTATTTTTATTTATTTTTGTTTTTTGCTGAAAGGTTTCTAACTAATATTTCCAACTCCTTAATAATAATAAGAATAAACAAGAAACATCGTACTGTCATAATGAAATTATTACTATTTTGTTATTTGGATTATTTGGCATACATTTAGATAAACTGTAATTAGTTACATCTTACAATTGCATGTACTGTACAACATGCAGTACATTAATTTTTAATTTTACATTAACTCACAGTATGAAATTTTTTGAATTTTATAGTCTTTTAATTATATTAATTGTTTTGTTTTTTTTTTCTGAATATTTGTAATTGTTTGGAAATTAAGTTTAAAGTGTACATTTATCATAACTATGAATTCTATACTAATTTTATGAATGAAACGTTAAGAAATTGATAATTTGTTTTTTTTTTCTGAATGAAACAAATTATCAGTTTCTTAAAACGTAACAATACGGAATTAACAATTAAAATGAATGAAATGAAAAAGACATTTTTTTTTTCTGAATGTCTTTTTCATTTCATTCATTTTAATTGTTAATTCCGTATTGTTACGTTTTAAGAAATTGACATATTTATTTTTTATCAATGAATGAAATTACTAATAATCAATTTCAATTTTTTTGTAAATTAATGAAATATGAATTGANATAGTCTAAGAATATATTATTTTTACTATGTATTATTTAATAATAAATAAAATATTTATTTATGTTTATACTATTGCAATTATACAAACCATAATTTCATTCTTATATGATGCATATATCAACATTTCAAAATTACAAGCATAATGAAAAATCAGTGAAAATAGGACTTAACATCTTGTTTATTATTTTCTTATTTTATCCAAAGACAATAAGTTGGTATCATTGAAAGATAAGATCCAGTTTGTTGTTTGTATAATATCATTAATCTCATTTGAATGCTTTTTTTTATTGTTCAGTAAAAAAGAATAACTGTAAAGATATTTTTTGGAATTTATATTTTTTGTTACAAATAATTGTTTTCTAGTGTTAATTATGTAAAAGATTCTATTGTAAATTGTTTTTCATTTTTAGTGCGGATGATATAGTATTGAAATTAAGGGGACAGCAATTGACTTTACCATATCTGATTCAAAATGGCTTTCACTGCCCAATTATAGTTGAAAATAAAACAGGGCTAGGACTCTCAATGCCTCCTGACACTTTTACTGTTACAGACATAATGGAAAATATTGGTATGTATATTGGTGTTTTTGAAAATAAATTTTAACTTTAATAATTTGTGTAAGTTTATTTTATTGAACAATAATTTAATATAAAAAAATATATATATATATATATATAAAATTAAAATTAATTAATTACTTGAAATTAAAGACATGCTAATTTTGTGAGTTTAGGGTTTTTAATTTTTTTAAAAGATTTACACTGACAAATCAGTCAATTGTACCAATTAAAAACTATGCAACTGGCTACAATTTCACTCATTATGAAGAAATCCACTCACAGAAATGTTAGCCAATATGAATGAAAGAATTGAAGAAAAATGTTCTGACCTATACTATGATAAATTATATTCAAACCTAGATTCCTTTTAACAATAAACTGTACATTTTATTATATGGTTAACTATCTGACAAACTTGAAGATTGTATTAGCAGTAAAATTATTATAAAATAACACAAATGACTAGATGATAAACTAATTAAATTAAATCTCTTTACTTGAAAAATGAGTTTGTCAAAATCTCAGAAAAGTAAAATGAAATATTGTTTAAAACATATGATTAATTTGATGAGACATTTTATATAATGAAAATACAGATATTACATTTCTTAACTATAGTTTACAACATATTTTCTGATATGTGATAGTCATTTTCTTTTTTTACTTAAATATAATTGTCAGTTGTTCTGACACAAATACTAGTTCTATTATATTATCTTTTCAGATAATTTTAATAATGTTTAATGGCAGTGTGAGAGGGGGGAAAGGAATCTGTATCATTTCTCATTCTGAACTGGATATTATTTTGCATAGCACTTTTGATGGACTTCTTTAGTAAAAAAATTATTCTCAGTTGTGTACCTTTATTGCATTTTACTCTTGCTTGTGCATTATAATGGTATTTAAGATCTATTTAAAATAATATATTGGAAATATTTTATGACTTGGATTTTTTTTCTACATATATTTTGAAACATAATTTACATAATATGCTGTCTTTTAAGTAATGCAAAAACACTTTAAATTAAGATTAGTACTATTGAATTTTAAAGTTTTTTGTTGCAAGTATAGAGAATCAATATATTAATAGAACATTTTATTAAAATTATATTGAATACCTCAAATTCAGAAAAAAATATCTATTGAAAGTTTTTTATTTTATTAATTTATGAACAGTGTATTTTATTCAAAAATTTTAATAGAAAGTTTTGTCCATCAGAAAAATCTTAATTTTTCAAAAATTTTCAAGTTAGCTGAGACATATCTAAATAAAGATTATCATAAAATGCAGCTAGAATACATATTAAATTCTAAATGTATTTGAATGTTCACATGATGCATGTCAGCAGTTTTTAAATTTTATCAGTCCACAGTTTCATAAAAATGGAAAATGTTACATTTTTTAAAAATTGAAAATAATTAAAGAAAATTGCAAACAATTTCCAACAGTTACTTCATAATCATTGAATTTTAATTTAAAACAGAAAATTAATATGTACCTTTTATTAACATGTACATAATGATTGTATTGCAGATGGTCCAGTAAACTATATTTGTCTTCATAAATGTTTTTAAAAACAATGTTTTGAAGTTCAGATAGATAGATAAATTTCAATTCTTTTGAGTCAATCATATTCTGTTGTATCTGCCACTGTGTACAGAGAGCACCTTTTTTGGAACCTATGATTTGCTTTGTGACAAGGAAAGGTAACAGACTAGATCCTGAATGTTTCCAAATTCTAAAAGTAATGTACACTTCACGCCTATGTTATTGCACTTATGTTTCAAATTCTGTTTTATTAAATAAAACTCTGCTCTAGGTGAGAATAAGAACAATTATTTGCTAATCTATTCTAGTTGAGATAACAATATCTAAACAAGCTTGCTCAAACTGATCTGATAGAATGTTCCACAAAGGTGAATCAAATATAAATTTTGTTTAAAATAAATTTTATAAATTCTTGGAATCTAGTAGTTCAGAAGAATTTTTCACTGGATATACAGTAAGGGATGTGGTTTATGTATTCTAAAGGAACCACATAATTTTTACTATAGCTTACAGTGACTATAAACAAAAACGTTCAGTTCCCTTTTGTGCATGCGTGTGGACATGCGCAATGAATAGATTGAATGGAACATAACTTAGATAACAAAAGTGAACTGTCTCAGTAATCAATAGGATGACTAACACGTCAAATTAATATATAATAACAAAAACAAAGACACTGAGTTCAGCGTTACATGCATGTAACGCTGAACTCGGTATCTTTGTTTTTGTTATTATGTGAACTGTCTCATTGTGCATGCATGTGGATGTGCGCAATAAATGGATTGAACAGAGCATACACATGCACATCTGACAGATGCAAAAAAGTTCTAACATAAGCACTTCACCACTATAATGGAGCCCGTAAAAATGCCACTTTAAAACTCAAATCAAAATTAAATTTTGAAGTTTTATTTCTTAAAATGTATTGATAGTAAATTATTATTTTTTTCACTTTTTGTTTTACTCTATTAATAGATAAAACAAGTTAAACAATAAATATTAAATAAATTATTAACTAAATAAGTTATATAAAGTATTTAAGTTCAATAAGTATTTGGGATATTTGAATATTCAAGCCATTTGAATATTTGAGATTTGGTTAATATTGAAGAACAGGAGCACAAAATCCAGGAGAGGAACACTATGAACCAAGAACTTTCTGTCCTTGGAGTGCACAGTTTTATAAGTTTTCCCTTTAAAACTGCCTTTTCATTGGTCCCGACTCGTCACCTGATGACAATTTAAAACTGATCGGAGGGCGTGGGAGAGGTCAGTTTTGCGACTAAATATTACTCCTTTCCAGCATGTTTCCCTCGACTTTAGTCTTTTCTATTGTTTAAATAATTTACAAAAAAAAAAACTTTCTTTGTTTAATCGAGATCTTTAATTTCTCCCTTTCAAGTTGTAAAAGGAGATTTTAATTTCTCAATTGATAGTCTCCATTCGGATTTCTATGTTGACTTCCTTCTGGGTCCTCACATGAGCACTAAATAGAGCACTAGTCTTCTTGGGACACTAACAGGGCAATGGAAGACCAATTAATTTTAATGTTAGAATGTTGATTTTGAAACAATGCTCTATATTTGTAGGTGACTTAAATTATTACATAATTATTTAAGTAACAGACATGAAGATAGTTAATAGAAAAAGAAAAAAGAAAGATTAAATTAAAACAAACAATTATTTATTGTGACATCGTCACAATGCCAGGCTGCAATTTTTAATTAATTTTAAATAGATGCTCTCCACCTGAAATTATTAGTGGTGTTTGCCTCTGTACATCATACTTTTCTGTTATCAATGGGAGTCATCTATTAACTGCTTTCAAGGGAAAAGTTTTGAATTGAAATAATGTGACTTCCGATTTGCATCAGAAGTTTATACATAGTTAATTGGGGCCTCCATTTTCTAAGTTTCCATATCTGGTCTCATCTTTCATCTAATCTAACTTTTTTCTCGAGATTAAGGAAAGACAGACAGATGGATGACAGTGGGAATTTATATGTCAACAATTTTTTCAAATTGCAGTCCAATAACTGAATTCAGATTTTCATGTGTGTATAAAATATTATAAAATCTGTAAAACAAAATTAAAGTTAGCAGGTTTTGTGGATTTGCATCTATAAAACATTAAATTGCCTATGTATAAACTTCTAAATTGAAAAAATTATTGATTTAAAATTTCACATAGTAGCCATTATAGATTTTTTTTTTTTTTGCAAATCTTAGGTTATGAAATTATGGTATAGATGAAAACAAAAGACAATATTTATTATTATACACTTTTATTTTCTTTATTTTAGCTACAATAATTTTTTAAATCATTTATTATGTATATTACAGTGAAATGATGTTATGACTTTTTAGATTTTTGATTATGGTTTATTGATTTATTTAGGAGCTGATTGGTGTTTAGATGTTATTGATGTTTCACGGCAAGACAATATCAAGATGACAATGAAAGAATGGGTGGAATATTTTCACAGTACTTCTCGTTATAAAATTTATAATGTCATCAGTTTAGAGTTTTCAAATACAAGGTATATAATACATTTTAAAAATTTTTACATTAGAATATATTGAAATTAATTGTTTAGAAAGCATAATAACTACATGATCAGATACATGAATTGTAATAATATATTTCAATAAGGACTTTCAAATAAGTTATTTATTTCAAGTATTTTCAAATATTATTTTACAACTGCATAGGCAACTAAAAGATGATATTTTAAAAGTATTATTGTATTTTAATTGCCAAATTACAGAAAAGAAAGAAAGTCATTTGACACTCTTGCTACAGAATATAGAATGTACTCAAAATTAATTTGCTCATATCAGGAACACATTAGACCAAGGGAGAAACAGATTGTTGTGTGTTACATGCATAGCTGCCATTTGGAATGCAACTCTGAAATTTTAAATGACAAAGGAGGTCATGTGACACATCGTTTAGGGTCAGAATTTCACTCACTGTTTTTGCAACTTTGGATTTTTTGAATGATGATGAAATAAAATATTTAGTTTATTTGCTCACACATTGAGGTTCACTGCAATAATAACTGCTTATAATTGAATTATGAAGAAAATTGTAATAATTGCTTATTTATTTATTTTTAAAGAGTTCTTCCAAAGTTTATGTTGAATGAAATGTAAAAGATAAATGAAACAAGTGCAGATAATAGTAATAATTTAGTAACTGCAATACTATAACTAGTAGTTTTATGAAATGACATCAGAGTGCAGGGCATTCATTTTCAATTCCAAATACAGTGGAGCCCTGTTTATCCAACACAAAGGACCGGATCAGATTTGAATGACCAAAAATCTGGATAATCCAGAAAAATTGTTAATGAAATAAACAATGAACAATAAGATAGACTTTTATTTTATATTTCTAGTTTCTTCTTTAACATGATAATCACTTTCTTTCCTTTAGATATCATTTTTACAGTGTTTACTTCATTTCACAAATGTTTGAAGATGAGTGAAACTCAGCAAAACAATAGAAGCTTTAGGGTGTTGAGTGAATAATAACTTGTGAGGTTACAAATAAACAAACTTATTAAAACATATTGACTGCCATGAGAAGAATGTAAGAATGTAATTAGTTCTTTGATTTTTTGCATTTATAGATTTTCCATGTATTTATTTTTCTGAGACAGGGGTTGTGTTTTATAATCTGGATAAACCAAAAATCCAGATAATCAGGGTTCCACTGTAGTCAGTTCTATCATAATGTAATATATGTATTTCTGAAATTTACTATATTATGAAAATTTTTGCTTGAGAAAAATTATTAGACTATAAAATCATAATAATATAATTTCTTATTAAATGTAAATTACTAGCTACATCATTTAAATTTTTAAATTACTTTTATCCTTATTATGTTTAGTATTTTATCAATAGTTACTTGTAAATTGATTGTTAAATTATTACAAAACAAAGTTATCCAAATTTATTGTTTATTAGATATTGTATTTTGTATGTTAAAGTAAATTGTTTTCAAATGTTTTGAATGCATGTAATGTGAAATTGCTTGTTAAATAAATTAAGTCTTTGTTTGATAAAAGTTTTTGCTGGAAAATGCTATTAGTGCACTATTTCTATATAAATTTGCATTATTATAGTTGTGCTTTTGTAATATTAAATGATTAAGTGTATGTTGTATTGATATATTATTTATGAGTACAGTAGAGCATCGATTATCCGACTCAATTGGGGACTCAGGTTGGTCGGATAATCAAAAAAAATGAAAAAAATACATTATTAGTATAGTATAGTATATTAGTATATCCCATGTAATTAGTATATTAATATATCGCTATTAACCAACTTTGCGTTGAATTTTCATCGATGTTAAGCCTAACAAATTTTTTATTTTTTTTAGTAATAATCGTTGCTATTGTATCGTTAAAAATTATTTTAAAATTATTTTTAAGTTATTTTATTGCCTACAAAACAAACACCCATTCATAATTAGAAAATTAAGTCTTGTTTAAATACTGGCCTTCCTTCAATGGTCAAGCTGTGTTGCCAGCTAAAACATGCAAAAATTTAACAAAAATAATAATAAAGTAGCCAAGACATAGCCAAATATTATAGTGCCACGTCACTAGCGGACATTTGAAATTTGCCGACTAGAATGGTTAGTTAACCGATGTAATGGCTAATCGGGGGTCAGATAATCAATGCTCTACTGTAAATAAATTTATATTGTTTCTGTGTATATAAAATACTAAATGTTTATATTAAAATATTTTATATTAAAAATTAGGTTATCAGAATTGGTAAAACCTCCCACTATTGTACAAAAATTAAGCTGGGTAGAAAATTTTTGGCCAGAAATGTTACCAGCTGGATGTCCTTATATTAGACCTCAAGTAATGAAATATTGTTTAATGGGTGTGCAAGATAGTTTTACTGATTTTCATATTGATTTTGGTGGTTCATCAGTTTGGTATCATGTTCTTAGGGTAAGTTTATTATATTTAATTAAAAAAAAACAACGATCTACAGGATTGGATTGCCTTGACCGGATAAGACCCGTGGACGATCTGTCAAAGAAAGTGCTTTCCGGAAATACTTTTAAGGGAAACTGGTCCCTATTTAGGTGTCAGTCACGTGAAGAAACAGAAAATTCCATGCTGCCAGCTCGTTGGTCAGGCACGAACCCAGAACAATTACCAGTGTTTAATGGTTTATTTCCTCAGTTACTGATAGGCACGATCTAAAGAAAATTTAAATATATTTCTCAACAAAATTTCTTGAGATTAAAACATAATTTCCTATTCGATTATCAAAGAAAATAAATATTATAGTATCCAACAACAGCTGAAATGTCTACGTCATATACTATAAGAAACTCGATATACACACGTAACAGATGAAATAATCATTATCTAATATTCCCAAATATTTTTCGAGTATCCAATTTTCATCTCTGCTTCAGTTGAATATGTAAAACTTGACAAAAATATATTTATATTTACACAAATACTACTTTCTTTCCAGCTATAAAAATAAACAAATTTCGTAATTCAAACGAACTATAAAATTACTATGAAAATGATATTGCTAAAAGTAAGAAAGTCTTGTTTAATGTTTTTTTAATAAATAGTATATAAATTTTAATTGTAATATAGCTAATTGAACAGTTTCATAATAAGATTTATAATTTTCAAGATAATTTAAAAAGAATTTCAAAATTGTAAAATGAATTTAAAAAAAAAAAAATTAATCTCTTCGAAGCATCAAATCTCATAAGGCAAGTTGCACAAATCGACTACTCGACTTATTTATGGAATTTAATTGCAAAAATATTGGAGTGAACTGCTAACGAAATACATATTTTGTCACTTTATTATCAATTCAGTTTCATATTATAAAATATGATTCAGTCATTTTGTGGAAATTGATGTTTGGGATTTCGTGACAGTCAATTTCCTTTTGGTTGGTATCTGGTTACTAGCTCGTGACAACGGAAATTCACGGTCTAGTAGCAAAGCATCGACCTCTTATGTTTGAAATTACTCGTGTTAGGAAAGGTTCATTCAAGATGAAATTTCTCGCTTTTTCTGAAATTTACTCGGCTTAAATAACAACAAACAATTTGGTGAAAATTTAAATATTTGACATTTAACAATATTAATGAAATTTGATTTTAAAACGACTTTAATTTTTTTCCCTTTAATTTGACATAAAATAGATTATATTAATTTTTATTCAATAACATTAAATTATAAACTGAATAAAATTGTAATGAAATAAAACAATTATTTAATTAAAATAAAACTTGTCATTTAAGTTAAATTAATTTTAAAAATATTATGTAATTAATTATTTTTGCATACTTTTAAATATTCATGATGTAAAATTGTAAGATTGCACTACCATTCACCAGTGAAGAGTTCGATTGTTAAACAAATAAACTGCATTTACTATTGATTTGTTTGCTAGGATTATAGATGAATTAACAATAGCATATAAATAATAAATTAATTTTTTTTTCTGAACAAAGNTTTGGTATCATGTTCTTAGGGTAAGTTTATTATATTTAATTAAAAAAAAACAGTTAAATTAATACTAAATTGAATGCATATTTTATTTAAGGGTGAAAAAGTATTTTATGTTATTCAACCATCATCTGCAAATCTATCTCTATATGAACATTGGATGTCTTCTTCTAATCAGAGTGAAACATTTTTTGGTGATCAAGTCGATGCTTGTTTTAAACTTGTCTTAAAGCAAGGACAAACATTATTTATTCCTACTGGATGGATTCATGCTGTACTTACTACTGCAGATTCACTTGTCTTTGGTGGAAATTTTATTCATAGTCTTAATATTCCTCTACAATTGCAGTAAGTTCCATTCTCTTATTTTTTATTTATTTATTGACAAGACTATGTCTTGTTTATAAAATCACGGTGCTGTCAACAGCTGCTCACCTTAGAGGTATGAAGGGAGTTGTCAATGAGACATGTCAGGAGTTGCAATTTGGCACAAAGTATTAGGTTCCCAAATCATGCGCACATAAAAAAAAACCAGACTTGTAGGTACTCAGAGGACCAAGAACTGAGTCAAAATAAAATACAAAATGGTGACACTCTTTCTACAAACAGGCACTAGTGTGAGAATTGCACATGCATTGCTCGTTCGGTAGTTGAAAATGCGAATGTTGCATGTTTTTGAAACTGCATGGTGCTAGTTGTTATAATTTCATATTAAAAGTAACTTCCAAAGTATAATTTTTATTTGTTTTTACATTTATTAATATATTTTGTTTGTGCAAAATAAAAACAATAATTTCAGACGATACAATATCCATGATTTTTTTTCAAAAACGGGAAATTTTCATTAGACATTGACAAAAATTCAATCAGGGCAACACACAATGGAGAGAAATTTTGACATTGGATAGGTTAATTTCACCGAAAATGCCTCGTGGATGACCGTGTGGCTGAGGCCAGCGAACTTTGAACGATAGTGCTCAAAACCAGCATACCAAAGAAAAATGGATAATGATAACACTTGCCATGAGTGTCGAAGTGATCCCGCTTACCGTAGCCAAGAACGGGCCCATGACAATGCAACCCGTGATAACCATGGCAGCAACAAAGCCTGCCGTAATCTATATCATGACTCCGAGTACTGGTGTCGGCTTTTCCTCGTTGGTTAGTGCTCATTTTTCTCTTTTCCTTAGAAAACTGTGTGTAGTCAAGCCCTGAGTTTCCAAGGCGTAGTCTTGTTCCAAAAATGGCTTTGTCATTTTACTTGTTTTTTTACTTCTGATTCAATTAATTTTTCCATAAAATTGTGTATTTTGAATATGGAAGAAAATGTAATTTAGTAATGAATACTGTTTTGCCTTTTTATTAAATTTTAAAACAGAACAGTGTGAAAATAAAAACTTGCATATAATAATTAAAGTTTTAATTAATTTTTAAAATCTAGTCAAAATTTTTCATTCTATTTTAATGAAGGTTGAAAAATTTAAAAAAAAACTATTATTACATCCAATAATGGAATTTATGCTTGGGAAATAATTAGCTAATAAATATTCTGTCTTATTGGTATAATAAAAACAATGAGGACAAATGCTAAAAGATCAATCATTTGCGTCCACATGCCCAGAGAGATGATTCAATTCACTATTAAGTGTTTTAAGATTTTTTCTGTCTTAATGCTTTATCTTTGTATTTTTATATATAAATTTTTGATAGCAATGCATTTTCATGTTGTGTTTAATGTTTCATGTATCTACAGTAGTAAATTATTGAAAATATTTTGATTTTTATAATACAATACTGATGCTATATCATTTTTTTTTAAGATGATGATTGTTAATATTAATGTCAAAATGTGAAAAATATAAATTTTAATTATGCAGGTTATTTCTATTGTGAATTATTTTATTATCAAACTTTCTTAATTTTTTTCAGTGTTTATTTTTATAGTACTTCCAACTTCTATAAAATGAAAAATTAAAATTAAATAATGTCCATTTTTATTATGTTATCTACAAGTAATTACTCTTTGTGTTTGTTAACTTAAAAAGTAGCCCATGTAAACATAAGTTATATAAGAACTATATATATATTTTGTTTATTTATATAAAATAAAATATATACAGTAGAGCATCGTTTATCCGAATCAATTGGGGACTGGGGTTGTTCGGAAAATCAATATTTCGGATAACTGATTATGTACGAAAAAATATATTAACCTATCCCATGTTGAAATTTTTCTCTGTTGTGTGTCGCTTTGCATTGAAATTTTCATTGATGTTAAGCCTAACGAAGACTATTGTATCATTAAAAATGATTTTTTTATTTTGTACAAACAAAATAAATATATTGAAAAATATAAAAACAATAAAAAATTATACTTCAGAAGTTAATTTAGTATCAAAAACGTAAAATATTTGAGTAGCCGAAGACATAGCCAAAGATTACAGCGCCACAGCACTGGCGAAAATTTAAATTTGTCGACTGGAATTCCTTCGGATAACCGACGTTTCGGATAACCGACCTTCGGATAAACGATGCTCTACTGTATTTATAATACTTTCTTTTTGGAAAACACAACAGCCTTAGAAGTCTATAATACTATAGAAGGTTTGAAAAACAGCACTCCAGACATCAGTTTCTTAAATATTGAAATCTTAAAACACATATCTGAGTTACTTTGTACTCGAATATTTGTTGT